CATAGAACAGAGAGAGAATTTTTTATCTTATTTATAAATTATTTTACTAAATTATCATCGTAAATTTTTCATTTGACTTCAATTAAAAGCAGGAGAGAGAAAATATATTATTAAAATATATATATTTAATAGGGGGACAGAATTAATGAGATTTAAATTTTTCTTAGTTTCGATAAAACAAATTGAAAATGCCTTATATATAAGACTAGATAAGTACTTTACAACTTCTGTTTTTTCATTATTCTATCACTTTATTATTGTTTTTTTTTAAGAAGTATTTGTTTAATTATGGAGAATTGCTGCTTTTAACTTGTGTGTAGGGAAATAACTCTTAAATAAAATAATATCCTTTGACATGATTCAAACCATAATTTCTATGGGATTTTGGTGCACTTCATTGCACAAGAAAAAAAATAAATGGACCTGAGAGATTTTGAATCAATCCAACGATTCTGCTATAGAAAAAAAATATATTTTAGCCAATGGTTTTGATGGATGTGAATATGAAGAAAGATGAAGAGAATCAAAGTCTCATGGTATCAATTTTAAAACTAGTTCCAAATTTTCCAAGAGAATGTTTGTTTCACAAAATGAGGGGAGAGATCGAGAAGAAAACCAAGAAGGAAACCTCACTTGGTTAATTTTGTTCTAGTTGTTAAAAAAAGAAGAAGAAGAAGAAGGATAAGTTAGTGTAAAAATACTTTAAATATGAATTTCAATAATATTACTAGATGATTTTCAGAATTGGAAGTTAAAGTATACTCTTTTCGACTTTATATACATGATATTTTCTAAAAGCTTGTTTTATCCTTGAATATAAAAGGTTTCATGATAATTTAGAATAATTAAACAATTTTATCCTTATTGTCTAAAAAAGTGGAAGGAATATTAATTGTGTGATTTACCTTCTATCATGATATTAATTGTGACATTATCAGAGATAAGATTTAAAAATTATCAGGGTTTTATGTGCTTTTAACTAAATAATAAGTTTTTATTACTATGTAAAATTTAGCTAAAAATACTTTATATATAGGAATGAAGGGAGTAGTTGCATGATAGTGGGATTGTAAAAATTGGTGGCTTAATTAGTGTATAAATATTTGAAACAAAAATGCCAATGGCATCATTTAATGACATGTAAAAACTAGTGAGCATTTTAGACCCCAAACTATTTTACTAATAACATTATGGTCCTTGAATTCTTAAAATATGAAAAAAAAATTTCTCAACTTTTAAATTATGATTGTCTAAAACCTCACCAGTAAATTAGAAAAAGTGGCAGTTATTTTTGTTGTTGAGGGCCTAATCACGCATTGGCGTAATAGTCATTTTGACTTTTAAAAATAACATTTGCAACTTAATGAATGGATTTCAGGTGTTTAAAATTTAAAAGTTGAGGAAAATTTTTATTCATTTTATGAGTTTATGACTCCGAATGTTATTCACATAATAATTTAAAATCTAGAATGCTCATTAATTCTAAAAACTATAAAAGGCTAGTCGTGAAAATTACACAAAACAGGGAGAGAAGAAGAGCAATGCTCAAGAAACTATGGCCATGTCTGATAGAGGCAAGTGTAACGGCTTCCATATTAAAAAAAAAGTAGGTTGACTGCATTTTGATTCTGCTTTTAAAGATTTTTTTTTTTTAACTATCAAGCATTGATTCTAATGAAATGGAATATGATTACTTTAAGCACAAGATCTGGTATGAAAGCGAAAAAAAAAAACATTTAAAATAGTCATCTTTGATGAGATCCAACTATGGTCAGACGTGACATAGCTGTTTAAAAAAAACAAAAAATATTTTTCCAAAATAAAATTTAATGCAGTAACATGCATGATAAAATTTCATTCATTGTTTATATAATTAAGTATAATCACATATAAATTCTAAAAAAGAAAAAGAAGAATTGTAAGGAATATGAAATCATGAAATAGGGGTAAGGGCGGCGAAGTTGGGAATTTTAAAAGAGAAAAGTTTCAATTTGAAAATTATTTTTAAAACAAAGCTAATTTTTGGAAAAACATAAAAGTACATCTTTGTACTTAAATTGTGCTTTGTTTTTAATTCATGTAGTTTTATTTTATTGTTATCAGTCTCTTTAATTTCATTGGCCTACAACATTAATTAGTTCCTATGGTTTTAAAAATGCACATAAAAGTTACGATTTGACATTGATGGAAATAATTTTACCGTAATTCTATTAACTCATTTGCTAACATGGTAAAAATATGCTGATGACATAAATATAAATTGATCATGTATGATTAAAAATTAAAGATAAATTTTTGACTTTTGAATTTTACCCTTCATTAAAATTAATGATCACCATAAGATTTATCTAGAAACTACAACTTGGCGCAATTAAGGAGGGGCAATATTGAAAAAAAATCACTATTACTACATTTTTTTCCTTTTATTTAAGACCAAAAGAAACTTTAAAACGTTGCCCTATAATTAAGATGGGAAGTACTTAAGCATGTATTAAATTTACAATTTTGATGAAAAGATGATACAAATGAAGTGGACTACAAGTGAAATTGCGACTCTCATCATCATCATCATCATCATCATTCATTTGATGGATGTATCTATGGGCGTATGAGAAGAAAGTAATGGTTGCTTATCCTATCCAAGAGAATTATTTAATGCAATAAGGTATGTTCCAATAGATTATATGCTAAGTGACTTGTCACATTGGGCATGTACCCTCCTATATCTTCATATAATGCTCTCTCACCATTCGCGGCAGAAAAATGTGTGTCCCATTCAATCCACTTGTCCACTTTTTAATAATTTATTAGTTAATGATTAATAGTAATGTTCTTATTATTGATCCTTTTCCATTTTACTGATGAGAGCTCTTTGTTCCAATAGGGATCATGTCTAACAAAAAGAGTTAATCCCTTACAACATCATATTTAAATTTCATTTAAAAATAGTGTTTATATTTAGTGCACAATTGTACCTTAAATATGAGTGCCTCCAATAAAAAAAAAAACCTTAAAGTTAACAACTCTTTGTGTTGACCTGTTACTCTTTTAAGGTTGGAAAAAAGAAGTATGTTTGGTTATTGGTTTATAAAAAATTATTTATTTAAATTTCATTTGTTAAAAGTCAATTCAATAAAAATTACATATTATAAGTGAAATTTATATTTGAAAATATTTTTTAAAAATAATTTAGTAAATTGAAATTTATTTAAAATTAATCTAGATCAATTTTATTATTGAAAAGTAACTAAAAGATGTTACATTAAGCATTCGTTTGGTTTAGATGATGAGGAATCCAAATTTCACAAGGTTTCAAATTCTAAAACTTATGAATAACCCAAAAGAAAAAAAAATCGGGTCAATTGTATTTTTTATAACATAAGGAACAAACTCCAGATTACTATCGCGTGGTTTGTTAGAAAAAGGGCAACATGTTGTTATATACAATTTTGTAAATTATTCAAGCTCAATTTTAATGTGTGTGTATTTGGTTTTTGAATGTTTGCAATATTTTTCTCATTTTTTTGCCTTTTCTATGAATAAGAGAATCATGTTCTTATAAAAACAATAACAACAACAACAAATTTTATTCTATTAAACAGGATTGGTTAAATGGTTTCTGCAATGTAATTGTGCTATCAGATATTTAAGTATATTGTTAATTAAAATGTTTTATTCAACTTTATCGAGTATTCCTTTTGTTCTTTTTTTACTCTTTTACATAGGATTTAAAATGATCTGTTTCATTTTTCTTATTGACATCTTTCATAATCAAGGTTGTGTGAAGAAGTTTTGAGGCTTAAGACAAAATTATTATTTTAGAGGCCTAATGTATTATTATTTACCACTTCAAATCCTATAAAAAATTAAAACAATCGCAATTTCAAATAAAAATTAAAATAAAAGGTAAAAGAGGAAAAAACACATGATATATATAATCTTCTATGATTGGTTTTCTTTGTTCTTTTAACAGAAGTGCAAAACTCCCATGAACAAATAAAAGGATTTGTGGACTTCACAATGACAAATGGCAAATCAAGTTATCGATCAAGCTACAGTCCCTGTGGAAATGGCTAAGGCAAGAGTTATTTTTTTTTAAGAATAAAATAATGACAACGCAGTAAACAATGTGATTGAGAGGGAAGAAGAGATGAAATGGTAAAGTGATTATGGCAAAGTACATGCTCGTTACAGAATAATTAATTAATATTAGAAGTACAAGTGATAAGTGTGCTGAAATGTGGGGCCATACATTTTTAATAAAGAAATATAATTAACATTAATGGTTATAAAAATATATTAATTGCCAGTTATATAATATATAAGTAAATAACAAATTCTTAATGAAAATACATGATTAATATTAATGCTTAATGAAAAAAATAATAATCAATTATATAAGTGAAAATTTTTTTAGATGTAAGACGATGGCATTAGTGGTCTAGTGTGACACACTGCCCAATTCATGACTAAGAGAAGCATTCTTTCATTATAAAAAGGAAAAAGAAAAAAGAAAAATATGAAGAAGGAGAAGAGGAAATAAGTGAAGCATTATTAACGCCGCTATGCATTTCTCCTAATTCAATGACGTCGTCTGCTGCCTGAGACATTTCCTTTATTCTCCTCGCGTCATGTAGAATAACAAGGAAATCAATTTTATGTTAATTTTCGATACTGTTGGTTTTATGATTCTTATGTTAGATAAATATCTGAATTCAGTAGTAGAAGTGAATAAATTGAAATTTTTTTGCATAGAACCAGTGTATTTTATCATTCATGCTCTATTCAATAAAAATACGTCATGTTATGGATTTTAAATTTAATGAGTGGTTTAAATTTATTCCACCCAATGAATATTTCAATTACAATAATTAAATTTTATTAATATTTAAAAATTGTTAAGGAGCATTTTCTTTTAAAAATTCAAATTAAAGCACTCCTTCTACATGTGTGTGTATATATATATTTATATTGTCTGCTGAAAAAATTTGAGATTTTGTGTGTGCTTTTAAAGGAGAGATGGTCAGCATCTTCCCTGATAGGGATAGGAATAGCTTTCAAGCTTTCTTGTTATCACACATATGGTTAAAGCTATTCATGTTGATGGATCTCTAACCCAATTTTTTACCCATTAGGTGATAGGGGTATCTAGTCTGTTTTTATTTTGTTGTTTAGTTTCTTGTAATGCTTTCACATTCAGATGAATGAGTAAAGCATGTTCATATTCAAAAAAAAAAAAAAAACTTGAGATTTTATATTTTTTAATTATTCTACGACAAATTTTTTTACAATCATTCAATTAAATTAAACATTTATTATCGTGTCACGTGATATGTTTATTGAGTGAATAAATTTAAATTATTTCCCGAATGTAAATCCATCATGTTGAACTTGTTCAATAAAATAAAATCTTACGTATTATTATTTTTAACAACTTTATTTTTAAAATAAAATATTTATTTAATTTCTTGTATTTTTTTATCTTTATTATTATCAAAGACAAAATAAATTTATTTTTACAATTATTAAGCATAATATGTTTTTATTAGACAGAATATGAATGGCATGACACACCCAATTTGCACAAAAATTTCTCATGAATAAATATTAGAGTCCGTGTTAAGAATTTATTTATTTTAAGGGTCAAAAATAGATCCACAAATACTGTCAATAAAACACTAATTAAAGAACCGGACAAGATATAATCACAACTATATTGACTCCCGTGTGTTGCATGGATTTTTCAAGAGATTAATTGATTCAAGAATCTAAGACATTTACAATTAGAATGTGGGGCAGATTTATAAAAATGTCATCTTTTTTATACCTTTTGATAATATTTAAATGCCAGTACTTCCACTTCAATGTTTACGTGATTTTTCATCATCAAGTTGCTTATTTATTTTGTTTGCGTTTAAGAAATTGTCCAAAAATACTATTATTTTTTCAATATCTAGCTTATTTTTTTAATAGTACTTTCTCTGAATTTTTCTTATAACTTTTTTTACTTAGACGTTGTGATGGACCTTATGGCACGGATGACGTGGCATTAATGGTAAAGAAACTTGAGAATGACAAGCATAAGCATGATAGCATGAAAGGAGCTCAATGTAAGAAGCAAGGAGTAAGGTGCCTAAGACTTTCAATCCAATGTGCCTAAAGACTTTTTGCAATATATTGAAAATCTAATGACAAGAACTCAATCTAAAGCCATAAAGCAAATCTTATTCAATTTTGAGCAAGAAGTTCAAGAGCTTGAATAGTATTAGGGCACTCTTCTCAAACCTAAAAGAAAGTATCTAGGCATTTATAATGTGTTTAAAATCTAAATTCATGAAAATTCAAGCCCAAGAGGTGCAAACCCTAGCTTAATGTAAGGAAGATTGCAAGTGGATCTTCTTGCAAGTAAGGAGGTATGAAACCCTAGCGAAGAGGTCAAAGGTGACGTAATTTTAAGTCACTTTTGATCCTTTGATTGTCTCTTTAATTGTCTCCTAATTGAGTTTCTTTCTTAAGGAGCAAGACTAGTAATAGTTTTTTTATTTATTTTGAATCTAGTTAAAGATTATGATTAATTATATTTTTTAAGTTTTGTAATCCTATAATTTTAAGATTACATCTCCTAAATTATATGGTTGAATATTTTCTCATTTGTTTTATATTATTTTCGTTATCCTTTTAGTATTACAAATTTAGGATTTTAATTCTAGAAAATAGTCTTCTTTATGAGTCAATATATATAAGGCGTACTCTCTCTTGTAAAGCAGAAAAGAAATTAAATGAAATTATTTATTTTAGAGTTTATAACTTTTATGAGCCTTGATGCTTTGTAATGATATCTCGTGTAAGAAATAGACGTGATCAAGAGCGTCATCAATTCATATGATGTCTTTGAAAATTGAGATTTTTAAAGGTAGATGCTCTAGAAGATCTTTTTCTTGATTATTATCTTATTATTTATTTTATTTTATTTTCTTTGTTTTCGTCATAAGTTTCGTTCCTTTTTTTTGTTTTCGTATTTTTGTTATATTTTAAGGTTCTATTTTTAAACTAGCACGATTCTCTTTCTGTGTCCTTTGTCACATCATTTTGTAATTTTTTTTATTTGAAATGTGTCCATAATTAATTATTAAAAAATTTTTATTTAATAGACATGATTGTAATAAAATTTTGTTTTTCTTCAAGAACTACGAAATAAATTCTGGAAAATTTAACCTCACCATATTATTATAGGAAAGAAATATTCATTTGCTAATCTCTAGAAAGATATTTTTTCCCTTTATCTAGATATACGTAGGTAAGCATTAATCATATTCATATTCAAGTTGAGAAACCGATACTTGAAAATTAAGCAAGCAAGCAAGCAGTTGATAAGATTAAACACTTTGCGTTTCCCTTCTGTGTCTGTTTTGAAATCATTAGTGGTTGAGCTCTTCAAGTTTACGTTTCCAGATAAACTTGTTTTTCTCATTTTTCGTTTATCTTGAACACAATGACATCATCTAATCTATATAGCTGAATTGCTTAGTAAGATCAGACTTATTGTATAGAATTGAGAAGGCAAGGCCTTGTGTTAAACACAAAACAAAATGACTTGCATTCAACAAAAACTGAGATTAATAACAAAGTGAAGGGTCATCCATCACCATACAAAATATGAAATAAACTGATAATTGTTCCGCACCTTTAAAGCATCGGACATTACTTACATATACAAAATACAAATACCCTCACATGGATTTAAATAAATACATACAATTTTTTTTTTAAAAAGTGTGTATTATAATTATATTGAACTGGAAAAATATGAGAGACGAACTGTAGAAAAGATCAGTGGCTTTAATTTTTGGACTTAGGCCTCTTCACAATCATCACTGAGCAGTTGGCACGATGAGCACAATACTCACTCACACTTCCCAGAAATGCTCTGCGTAAAAAACTTGATCAAGTTAGACGCAATTGATTGACAATTTATTTTATTTTTGGATTTTTATAAATTGATTTTTTGCTGCTAATTCAATGTAAGTTCCATGTATTGCACAAAGTATGGAAAAAAAACATCAACAAAAAAATTAGTGGCGCTATGCTTAACATGTGAATAATAAAACTCATTATGTATCTAAAAATTAACCATATGCCTTGCTATAACTTTTAAATTAATATTAAAAATACTAATATTAATATATTGATTGATTTTAAAGTTGCAGGCCCAATTTAAAAAAAAAATGAAATTGACCACTTGAGACTAATCCAAATAGTAAAGGTGGGGTGAGACATGGGTAAAGGTTTAAATTCTTTTATCCTTTTAATGTATCTAAAAAGCAATTCATGTCGTTGGTGGGTTAAATGGTAAATAATTCTTCTTAGATTGTACTTTAGACAATATTAATTTTGTGAACTTTGAATTTTCTATCTTTCTTTATACTCATTTTTTTATTTGGATAATCTAGATTACCTTATTTGATAAAAATGATAAAAATTAGACGGTTCAAAATTTATTTTATATTTTATAATTATTTTATTTGTTTTCTTAAATAAATAGAATATAACATAAAAGAAAATTTCTATATTTTTTAAAGCTCGTTTAATTTCTGAGAACAAAACCTGAAAAGAAAAACTGTAATTTACTTATGAAATGAATTTATACTTTTTATATAAAACAAAAAATGAAGACTAAAATAAAAAAAAAAAAAAAGATACCTTTTGAGCTTGCCATAGCCATGGCTACCAAGAATCAAGATGGAAGCATGGTGTCTATCAACAGCATCACACAACACATTCCTTGCATCCCCTTCTATCACTTCCACTTCCACATCTTCCACCTCCCACATTATTACATCAGATAATCAAATTAATATATATAGTATTAACTATTCACGTATATATATATATATATATAAAATAAAACTTACTAATTTATCAGCACATATCTGTCTTGCCTTGCCTGTAATTTGATCAGCAACCATCTTCATTTGCACCTCCAATGTCGGCAGCACATCTAAAAAAGGTCTCCACGAAGTAATTTCATCACAATATATATCTAACTACACCCTTTATTTTTAACACACATAAATTATTGCATTTTTTTTTTGCATGTTAATTTGTTTGAAATAAAAATGTAAGAATGTAGAGAATCAAATCTGGAATGAGTAGGGTTAGACATACAAGGGCCGGCGACGCTGGCCGGGATGGGAGCGAAGGGGCGAGCATAGAGAATGACAAGCTTGAAAGGAGACGGAGAAGATTGGAAAGGCGTGAAGAAGGTTTGTAGAGTCCATTCCAAAGCATAAGTACTGTGCTCATTCTCATCCATAGCCACCAACATCACTTTCTTCTCTCCCATTTTTGCACTCTCTCTTTCTCTCTTCAGATTTCACTCTTTTCTTACTCTTTCTGCTTTCTACCTCTCTCTCTCTGTGTATTATCAGCTATATATAATGAGATTCATCAAAGATAAAATCATTAATATAATTAATATTATCAAGATTTAGCCTTTGGAATTCTCCAAAAGACTTTGTTTTTGCCGTATTCATGAGCTGTTACTGTGGGCTGTTATTTCAGAAAAATATTTATTATCGGACTGTCTTAACATTAAGAATAAATTATGGAGTATTATTATTTAAATATATAGCTAATTATGGTTAAAAATAATTAAATAATCAAATTCAATCGCAATTTAAATTGAAATTACACAAACACATGACAACGTATGAATGATATAATATCTTTTCAGATGACAAGAATTTCTCCATCATCTTTTTTTCATACGAATTTCTCTGTTATCTTATGTATACATTATTTTTGGTCTTTTACTGAACAAGTAAAAAAAAAAATTATATACAACAGCATTGGCACAAGCACAAGTTTACAAAATATTCTTAATAAAATTTTATAAACCAAGAATAATTATTAGTCATTAAATATCTTTTGGAATTTTTGAAAGGACAAAGGATTAATGATGATCTTGATATTCCGTGGACAAAATAGAAATATTGATGAAGAACAGAGCAGCTATAAAGTTTGAAATATGCTAAAATTGTTACTGTCTTTTACCTGAGTGGAACAGCTGGAAAAAAAAAAAACAGCTAAAAGATTGAAGACCACAGATTCTAACCTTTTTTCCCCAAATAAAATTTAAAATTTGCTCAGCCGCATTATTCATACATGAATAACAAATTTTATTGTTCTGTTTTGTTTTTGTTTTTTTTTTTTTTGTGGAGGGGGGTTGTGGAGCAGAAAACAAAAATAGTCCCAATAAATGGGATGGCAAATAGCACAGGAATACGCCATTAATTTTTAGCCATATTAATGATCTAAAATAACTAGAGTAATAATACATTGATTTTTAAAAAGTCATGTATATTATTTAATCATAATGCAATTATTTAATATTGGTTAACACGAACTGATGTACACTCATTCAAATATTATCAAATCTCCAACGGAATCATGGAAACAAGACACCGAAATTAAAGGTTTCACCAGAGTGATTTTAAGGAATGGCTAGAAATGATTTTCTAGAGTTATATCTAAATCTGCCTAGCAAAGAAAGGCAAGCAAACACAGCAAGTCGGCCATTTCATCCCAAGTCATTAATAAATAACATATTTCAATCACGAAAGAGACACCAAGGACCCAAAACCACCAAGTATCACAGAGTAGACAACATATAAACCATCAAAGCAACTTCCAAAAATAAATTAAGACTTGGTTTAAAAGAAGCAAAGCTTCTTAAACATAGAACATAACCCTCTTCACATTCTCCTTAAGATCTGGAAGAGGCCTAACAGTAGCACCGCCATCTGGTGCTCGAGTGCTCCGCACAGCCCCACCAACTCCACGAGCTGCAGCAGCACCACTTGTCATGGATCCACTCTCCGATGTCTCCCGTTCCATATAAAACCGAGCTCGGAAGGCTGCCAAATGAGCATAATATACAGGTGGTGCTGCAATGTTTATCAGACAGTGAAACGCATCAACTTTAGATTATAATCAATATATGAGTCGTTCTAACAATAGCTATTCCATCTGTGTCTGCATTACTACTACTCACCAATTGAAACTGAACGAGTGCATCTAGCATAACTGCACAAGCCATGAAAATACGTCACATTCAAAACACAGCTTTACTAACGGAGAACAAAAAAGGAAAGATCCCAACAGATAAAATCAAGGGAAGTTCATATTACGTATAACAAAGGTTGTTCGTCAGAGTTTGCAGTGCATCAGCTGTGAAATTATTTTCATCCCATAACACATGGTAATGAGCTGGACGGCTTGTTCCCTGTGACCATTTGGACGCAACTATAATTTAGCATCAACGTACAAATCGCAAATCAATTCCACATAAAGGCAAAAATACTTCACCTGGATCCCAGCATGGCTACAAAGATAAAAGTCAAACTCAATAGGATGACAGATATCTGAGTCTACAACAGTGCCTGAAACATTGCCAGATGTTGGCTATCATCATATTGAGGAAGCCAGGAAACAAATGTCATCATACATCATAAGTTTAAAAAAACAAAAAAATGAAACACCTGGCAATATGTTCCCACTCCGGTCAACAGATCCCTTGTCATGATGGTTGCTGGCAAATAGCCTAGTATGATGACGCTTCTGAACCACCACAAATGTCACAGGTGGTTGATAATTAGGTTCCAGAGATGCACATGCCTATCAAGAAAACAGCAGGGAAAACAAACTACGTTAAGGACATGCAGAGGATTCGGGTCCCCGGGGAAGAGGGGGAGACATCCAGAGGATTAAAAAAATATTACTCAGGGCACCGGGGGGGGGGGGGGGGAACCAAACAAACCTTTCGGATAGCATCAAGCTCAGACCGCAAAACCTGATAGAACTGCCCCTCACTCACACCATCCCTGAAAAAAGGTTTATAATTCAGAATCAAAGGGGCAAAAACAAAAGCTCCTCCAGGATTGATAAAACCAATGCTACCTGTAAAATATAATGCGCTGTGGCTTGTGCCCCGTGGCCCTCCGGAAAGATATGAGATGCTCCCTGCAGAGAAATCAAACAAAATAACAGCGGATCCATTGAATAAATTCTAGCCCCAATTTTTCACCCTCAAAAAGTATAACTGGTGTGGCATGTGCACCCCAATACCACAAACTAAAGAGTGAAGAGGGAGGGAATACTTGACGATTCCACCAGTTACTGTTCCCCTCACTGGATCCTGCCATTGTTGGAAAAGGTCTTGAATGAGCTCCTGACGATGAGCTTGAGCACGCACCAAACCAGCATACTTTGTGATTTCAGGCCAATCTTGAGACGCCACAACCTAATATTTAACCCCAAAAGGAAAAAAAAAATCGATGTAAGTTGAGCCCAAAACAAATAAAGATTAGATAGATTATTAAACCTAGATGTAACTTCAACATACAGCAGCAATGGATGGACTTGAATCCTCTCCAGCATGTGGATGAGTAACATCGGCACCAAAAATAATTGTGGGTCGATCACTGACTAGAGGTATACGTCTTGAAAGTGCATCAACAAGCACTGTGTTCCTTCCGCCTACTTTTACATTGATTTTCAAGGCAACATTAGCAAGGTACTGCTTGCTCATTTTATAGACATGCTTAGTCAAACAGCACTGAGAAACAACCCCAAGATCTGTCTCACACATTCGTTTCAGGTCACCTGCAGAGGAAATTATGAGCATGCTAATAAGTCTACAGGAGAAACGATGTGGAAAGATGAATGGGAAGCATCATTACCATAAAGCGACCCATTATTATCAGGCAAAATAACAATAAGAAGATCAAGCTCCTTCCCCCTCAGTTTGGTTTTTGCATCATGATACCGAGTTTTGAGAACCTTATCCACCAAGTCAGGACGGGCACTATATGGGGGAAGTACCGGCTGTGAGTTGAATGCCTGAGAACATTTTAATTATATAGATCAATTATTCCAAAATATAAACGAGTAAATAATCTGGCCATAGAAACAACTGAATCCAGAGAAGTAATAGGTAATATCCCCATACCATGCCAGATATACAACACATTTGAGCAAGTTCATAACAAAACCCACTTGCAACACTATCTTGAACATTTCCAGAAAAATTGATGCAGATCCAGTGGTTTACTGTCCCGCCATTGACCATTTTCTGAACCAGTGTTTATCAAGTCACACAAGCAATAGGTTATTTCCGAACTCATTATCAATGACAACTGTGAACATTCAAAAAGACATATGCAATATCAATTATAATTAACAACAATTAATTATAATTATAATTATAAATCCAATAACCTATACCTGCAATATCCTTTATTTAACAACAATTAGCTTAATTTAATATACTACATCACAGATTATGTGTGAAATGGACAGTGATCAAGGAACCTTCATCGGAGATGACAAGTTAAACAAATTAAAAGGGAGCAAGCTACCTTATTCATCATATTCCATTGGCCAACTTGAGGCAGACAGTCCTTTTCTCTACCTGTATCATGGTATTTAAGCTGCAGCGAAAGTTTAATTTCATCTAAAGAACTGATTAACATGTTCAAAGTGAATTAAAATTAGTAATAAAACAAGATTAAGAAGGAAATACCCTGGGTGGAGAAAGGATGCGAGCTTCAACTTGAGCTGGCTTTTCACTAATTTTGATTCCAAACTCTCTAGCATAAGGATCATCACGGTAAGCATTATGATGAACTGTCTGAACAGGGACAACATAATGTACATTAGAAAAGGCACAAATAACGTCCAATCAACGGCCCATTAACATAGTGTATTTGGCATAAGCGTGAAGATAATTCTAGAAAAGTACTCAACATGTATTCGAATTTTGAGTAGACATTAAATACTACTTTATGAAGGAAACAACCAGAGACTTGTAAATTTCTCAAATTATAACAATGTGGAAGACATTAAAGCACAGAAACAAAGTTGAATCAACAATACCCTTAAAGTCTTCCGAGCAGAAAATAGAGGTCAAATCCAATTAAAAAAAAATGAAAAAACCTACAGACATTTGTGCAGGACATGTAGCACCCACTTGAATGAAATACAAGGTCACAATACTAAAATATTTGTATATTCAAAATTTATCAATATATGAGATGGTATGAGGAAATCATCTGCTGACCTGCATAATATCACGCTCCCTGTCAACAGGACGCTGGCATATGCCTTTGAGCATAGCAGTAATCTGCTTTTCATTCAACCTCTTCCGGTACCTTTGACCTTCTACTATCTTGCAAACCTACATTCAGCACAGGATATTACCATGCACTTCCATATAACAAAAGAGTTCATATTTGTGAGAATGTTACCTCCATCGGTAAATAGATTGGTCTCTGCTCATTCCCCGCTTGCAAGCAAGGCCATTGGGTATGTTGAATGACAAATCCATATGATTCTGAAAAATACTCAACAACAGACTTCATTGT